CGGTTCGTTTCCCAAACCCCACGCTCTGTGGACGTGGCCTCGGATGTGTTTGAAGGACACAAGGCTTCCCTTAGGGGCAGAGTGATATGGCAGCATTGCTCTCTTTCCGTCCTCAACGCCCTTTTTATTTATTTTTTATTTTTCGTAATTTTAAAATGAGCCTGGTTCTTCTGTCTAACCTCTTTCTGCTGATCGCTGGTAGAAGCCACACCATCGCTCACGTTCCTCCCGGTCGGTGGGCCAAGCGAGCATCCCCGAGGGCGTGACTCCCCGCGGAGCCTGGTCCGAGTGTGTGAACCCTCCTCTCTGGTGCCGCCGCGGGACGGGAGGGAGTCTCTTTGGCCACAATGACTTCGGAAGCTGCCATTCTTGTCTTGATGAATGAGCAAGGCTACTTACATCCGGGGCCGTGTTACTTGGAAACCCCACCTGTGATGTTCGACGCCTCGGATTCATTCACTCGGTTCGCCGTTCGGGTCCCCCGATGTCGGTCTGCCAGGCTCGGCACCCCGAATGTGCTGGAGCCTCGGCTGCTGCCGTCTGCCTGTGGCTCTCTGAGCTGCTGTGTGTCCGCCATGCCTTTCCTGTTTTTTCTTTCTTGTGCCCGGTTCTGGCTCTCTGGCTGGCACAACCTATCCCTTGGTATGCTTTGTGGTACTGCTTAAACCCTAGCTTACTGCTTCCCAATGTGTCGCAAGGCTCAGATTCCAGGGATTTTAAAGAAGTTGAGGTCATGCCTGGCCAGTGTTGCCCAGTGGTTAAGTGTCCACCTAAGAACCAGGAGGTCAGGGTTTGATTCTCGGTCAGGGCACGTGCCTGGTGTTGTAGGCTCCCTCCCCAGTGTGAGGCATGCAGGAGGCAGCTGATGTTCTAGTGCTCTCTCCCTCTCCCTTCCTCTATGAAATCCATAAAAATACCTTTCTTTTCTTTTTTTAAATATATTTTATTGATCTTTTACAGAGAGGAAGGGAGAGAGATAGAGAGCTAGAAATGTCAATGAGAGAGGAACATCGACCAGCTGCCTCTTGCACACCCTCCACCAAGGATGTGCCCACAACCAACGTACATGCCCTTGACCAGAATCAAACCCAGGACTTTTCAGTCCGCAGACCGATGCTCTACTACTGAGCCAAACCGGTTTTGGTAAAAATATATTTTCTAAAAAGAAGAAGTCAAGGTGGTGTGCTTACACTCTGAGCCAAAGCATTGAGCTTGGTCCTTGTCATTCTCCCCACTCACTGATTTACAGAGTGGCATTCAAGTACTTGGGAAGCAAAGGAAGGAGTCAGTCCTGGAGCCAGTGGGATAGAGTGGCAGGTGGGATAGAGTGGCTGGTGGGATAGAGTGGCAGGTGGGATAGAGAGGCAGGTGGGATAGAGTGGCCGGTGGGGTAGAGTGGCCGGTGGGATAGACAGGCCGGTGGGATAGAGAGTGGCAGGTGGGATAGAGAGGCAGGTGGGATAGAGTGGCTGGTGGGATAGAGTGGCAGGTGGGATAGAGAGGCAGGTGGGATAGAGTGGCCGGTGGGGTAGAGTGGCCGGTGGGATAGACAGGCCGGTGGGATAGAGAGTGGCAGGTGGGATAGAGAGGCAGGTGGGATAGAGTGGCTGGTGGGATAAAGTGGCCGGTAGGATAGAGAGGCTGGTGGGATAGAATGGCCTGTAAGATAGAGTGGCCGGTGGGGTAGAGTGGCCGGTGGGGTAGAGTGGCCGGTGGGATAGAGAGTGGTCGATGGGATAGAGAGTGGCCGGTGGGATAGAGAGTGGCCAGTGGGATAGAGTGGCCGGTAAGATAGAGCGGCTGGTAGGGTAGAGCGGCCGGTAGGATAGAGTGGCTGGTAGGATAGAGAGTGGCAGGTGGCGTAGAGTGGATGGTAAGATAGAATGGCTGGTGGGATAGACTGGCCGGTGGGATAGAGAGTGGCCGGTGGGATAGAGAGTGGCCGGTGAGATAGAGTGGCAGGTGGGATAGAGTGGCTGGTTAAGATAGAGTGGCCGGTGGGATAGAGTGGCTGGTTAAGATAGAGTGGCCGGTGGGATAGAGTGGCTGGTAGAATAGAGTGGCTGGTGGGATAGAGTGGCTGGTAGAATAGAGTGGCCGGTGGGATATAGAGTGGCTGGTGGGATAGAGTGGCTGGTGGGGTAGAGTGGCTGGTGGGATAGAGTGGCTGGTGGGGTAGAGTGGCTGGTGGGATAGAGTGGCTGGTGGGATAGAGTGGCTGGTGGGATAGAGTGGCTGGTGGGGTAGAGTGGCTGGTGGGATAGAGTGGCTGGTGGGGTAGAGTGGCTGGTGGGATAGAGTGGCTGGTGGGATAGAGTGGCCAGTGGGATAGAGAGTGGCTGGTTAAGATAGAGTGGCCGGTGGAATAGAGTGGCTGGTGGGATAGAGTGGCTGGTGGGGTAGAGTGGCTGGTGGGATAGAGAGTGGCTGGTGAGATAGAGAGTGGCTGGTGGGGTAGAGTGGCTGGTAGGATAGAGAATGGCTGGTGGGATAGAGTGGCTGGTGGGATAGAGTGGCTGGTGGGGTAGAGTGGCTGGTGGGATAGAGTGGCTGGTGGGATAGAGAGTGGCTGGTGAGATAGAGAGTGGCTGGTGGGGTAGAGTGGCTGGTAGGATAGAGTGGCTGGTGGGATAGAGTGGCTGGTGGGATAGAGTGGCTGGTGGGGTAGAGTGGCTGGTGGGATAGAGTGGCTGGTTAAGATAGAGTGGCCGGTGGGATAGAGTGGCTGGTAGGATAGGTGGCTGGGAGCACTCAGAGCTGGGTTTGTGAAATCCCGTGTGATCCACAAAGATTTTGACACTTTTGGGCCAGAGGGTGGGGGAGGTCTCGGTCTTAGAACAGCTGCTCCGTGAGGCTCTGTTACTATCGGGGAGCATCCTTACTTATTTAAGTATCAACCCAAAGAATAAGAAGGGAGGGCAAAGGTGAGCACCTGTTTAAAATCAGGAAATAGCATACTAGAGGCCCGGTGCACGAAATTGGTGCACTTGTGTGTGTGTGTGTGTGGGGGGGGTGTCCCCCAGCCTTGCCTGTGTTCTCTCACAGTGCGGGAGCCCTGCGATCAATCATCCCAAAGAGGTAGGTCCCGCCCACCCATCCGGGGCTCCTCGATGGACGGATTGCCCCAAAGAGGTAGGTCAGAGCCGGAGGTCCTGCCGCCAGGCCCCTCCTCCTCTGTGCCACACGAGGCTGTGGGACCCCCAGGCCTGGCTCAAAGAATAAGAATTCACACAGCTTCCTGGTGGTGAATTGTGGGATTGTGATGATGTGAGGACCACCTAGGCCCGTGGTCGGCAAACTGCGGCTCGCGAGCCACATGCGGCTCTCTGGCCCCTTGAGTGTGGCTCTTCCACAAAAGACCACGGCCTGGGCACGTTTACTGTGAAGAAGTGGCGTTAGAAGAAGTTTAAGTTTAAAAAACGTGGCTCTCCAAAGCAATGTCAATCGTCGTCCTGTTGATATTTGGCTCTGTGGACTAGTGGGTTTGCCAACCACTGGCCTAGGCTGTTATTAGTGTAGATAAGCAGGGAATCATGGGCTGTGGGGCAGGAGAACAGACGCCCAGACACCAGTCAGCTCCATCACGGATGCCCCGTTGACCTTGGGACACTCACATCAAGGTCTGGATCTCTCTGATCTCAGATCTTCTCGTGTGGGGGTGAGACTGTCTGTTTTGAAGAAGTAGCGTTAGAGAATGCTACTTCTCCAAAGTTTCCACTTTTTAAAAAATTTTATTGATTTTTTACAGAGAGGAAGAGAGAGGGATAGAGAGTTAGAAACATCGATGAGAGAGAAACATCCATCAGCTGCCTCCTGCACACCCCCTACTGGGGATGTGCCCGCAACCAAGGTACATGCCCTTGACCGGAATCGAACCTGGGACCTTTCAGTCTTTAGGCTGATGCTCTATCCACTGAGCCAAACCGGTTTCAGAAAAAGTTTCCCCTTTTAAAAACCATGGGACGCAGCCCGCACCAGCGTCTCCCGAGCTGAGAGCGGCCCTCACTTGCCCACAGGCTGGTGTTGGGACGAGCTGTCCCGTGGGCTTTGTGCGTGTGATAGGAACCACCGCTGGGCCCCTGGGTGTGGCGTGTGGGTGGGTGCTGCATGGTGTGTTGCTCCCGCAGGGCAGGTCCCCACGCCGCCTCTGCCGCTGCTGAGCCGGCGGGAGGATGGCAGTACCGCCGTGGGCCGGCCATGTGTTCGACGTAAAACCATGGGCGGGCGGTCCACCCACCACCAAGGTCCACGTCTTCCCACCACATTACGCAAAAGAGCAGAGATGTCCGTAGCGAGGAGGAGGAAGGGGAAAGAAGAGTGAGCCGCTGGTCCAGATAGTTTCAACATCCTGGTATTGGGAGGCATCTGGATCATTCACAGCTTTTTTTTTTTCTTTCTTTCTCTTTTTTTTTTTTCTGGTTCATTTATCATCCAGATGTTCGCCATCATGGAACCACCACTCGCGAGCCGCTAATAACGCCAAAGTGGAAAAACTCATATCTGTGTGTCTGTCCTTCGTGCTCCGTCCCCCTCTCCCTCTCCACCCCAAGGGCCTCCTCCTCCTCAGCATCTCCCTCCGGGAACGAGGCTGCTCCGCCAGATGCTTAGGTGTGAGCCGTCCCTCTCCTTTTTTTCATCTTCGCGGCCGTCCTGTACGCTGTCTGCCTGAATTACAGATTGCATTTGTCAAAGAATGACACATGCAATTGGATGTCTTCGGAGACCTTTGAAATCCAACTTCCTCGCGTGGAGATTAAAGGGGGCTGTCCCTCGGCGGCTGCAGTCGGGCCCGGGCTGCGCTGAAAAGTTTCCCCGAGGCCGGCCTGCTCCCGCTTCCAGGGTCTGGAGCGGGGAAAGCCAGGTCCTCTTTTTTTTAAAAAAAAAAATCCTGGAAGGTAGACCCTCCAGTTCCCAGGTCCCGGTGAGAAACGCCCGCAGAGCGGCCGCCGTCGGAAGTGGGCCTGGCCCCCGGGGCGCTGACCGTGTCTCTCTGGCTGCAGGAAGCGCTGTCGGTGGTGAGCGAGGACCAGTCGCTGTTCGAGTGCGCCTACGGGACGCCACACCTGGCCAAGGCGGACATGACCGCCTCCTCCTCCGGCGACTATGGGCAGACCTCCAAGATGAGCCCGCGCGTGCCCCAGCAGGACTGGCTGTCGCAACCCCCGGCCCGGGTCACCATCAAGATGGAATGCAACCCGAACCAGGTGAACGGCTCCAGGTAAGCTGGCTCCCGGCCCCCCCCCCACCCCCACCCCGGATTCCCCATCCCTTGTGGAGGCCCAGGGGGAGCCTCGTTTCCCGCCAAGATCTTTCCGGGAAGGAAGGCCGCGGAGGGGTCCCTGGGCCATGGGCGGAGAAAAACGTGTCCCCGATGGCTCTGGGCTGAGGACGGAGGCTGTAAAACTGGTCGTATATTCGCGGAGCGCTCGCTTTGAAGACGGGGTGTTTGATGCCGTTTTCCAGGCGTGAGGGCGCGGTGGGAGGGGGGGCTTGCTTGCACACATGTGGCAGAGTTCATCCCTGGCGTTTATGGTCCGGGAGAGAGGGCTGCGCTGTGTTTGCGTGGAGAGAGAGTGGCAGCTAGTGGCCAGGCGGCGCCATATGTCCGAGCCGTCTGCCCTCGCCGAGGGAGCTGCTTAGCCATCTGCCCTTCGCCCTCCACCCCACCCCACGCCCCTCCTCTGTCCCTCCCCCTCCCCCTCGCTGCTGCTTCTCATCTTCCCTCACACGGAGGGCCTCGCTCCCCTCGTTAGCGTCTCGGGGCAGGGCTGTCAGACAGAATGTGCTCTCAGATGCAGGACGAGCCTTGGCCCTCGCCCGCGCTGCGTCGGATGCAGCTTTGCAAAGTCAAGTTGGTTTCAATTATGATATCATAGCCCATCTATATTCAGGAAGGAGCGTATAAAATCGCGGGACAAAGGGAGGGTAATTTCTTAGCGTGTTGCAGGGTCTGGCGCGGGGGTGGGAGACAGCGCACACGCTCTGTGGCCTCCCTGAGTGCAAAGCCCTTCTCCTCCCGCTCCCCGCGCCCCGCGCCCCGCGCACCCCCAGCAGCCGGGCGAAGGGCGCTGGTCCCCATTGGACAGGGGAGGAAACCGAGGCTTAGACGTGTCCTGGCTAACTCAGGGTCACCACTTCCAGGGGCTCCCTTTGGGTTCAAAGCCAGGGTGTCTGACTCTGTCCACCACCCGGCCCCTTTTGCTCTGCGTGGTCCAGGGTGTCCTGGAAAAATGGACACACAGCTCAGCAGCTCAGTGACCACTCCGTCACCGCTGAGGGCTCGGTGTGAAAATGAAACGTATTTTTACAGACACGGCCTTTATAACGGTTCTGAGTGTGTGCACGCCCTGTGTGTTAGCACCGACTGCGTTTTCACAGGAGCCGGGAACAGGGCGTCTGCCTCTGGGGCGGCTGCGATGAAGGTGCCGGGTCCCAGCGCGCTGGAGGGGTGGTGCGTGTGGGGCGTGCGTGCAGGGTGCCGGCCAGAGCCGCCTCTCCTGTGCTCAGTGCCGGCCTCCTCCCTGACTCCGGGAGCCTCGCTCCGAAGGGGCGCGTGGCCGTGGTGTGGGGGCTTCACGTGGCATTCAGGCCCCGGCGGGCCACGTCGGACCTCCCCGGGGGGTTCGTTCCCAGCCCTGAGAGGTCCCGGGCAGAAAACGCTGCCCGAGGCCCGGGATCCCCGAGGCCCGGGTACTGACGTGACGCGTGTCATCGTCCTACAGGTCCGTCCTGGCCCGTGTGGCAGTGTCTCCACCACACATAGGGGCGGGGGCCCACGGCAGGTGTGCCACGAAATGCAGAGAGTACTCTTGCGTGGATACGAGCTATTGTGTTATTGTGTTACGTTCCACACGCACCTACGCCCCCCCGCCTTGTACTTCTGGGACTCGGGAGGGCGGAGTGGACGCAGCCGTGTGGCGAAGAAGGCAGCGGAGGGATGGAGGAGGCGGGGCGAGAACCCCGGGCCACTGAGTGGGTTCGCTCTCGGTGGCGTCGTGTGACCCAATGCACCCAGGAGAGTTGTTGGGGGGACGCTAAGAGCAAGATGCATTTCCAGAGCTCTCTTCTTCGGACACCCGTTTCTGTATGCAGGAAATGCATCAGAGAGAGAGAGCGAGCGAGAGCGAGAGCGAGAGCGAGAGCGAGAGCGAGAGCGAGCGAGAGAGAGAGAGAGAGAGAGAGAGAGAGCGCGCACTCTTCGGGCACGGGGCACCGAGACGTTGCCCAGCTGGCAGTGGCGGACCGGCGTGCTGGCCCCTGTTTCCAGGTGGTCCGAGGGCCAGCTCCCCGAGTCTGGCTGGACTTAGGGAGCCTCAGAGAGGGCCTGGGGGAGGAGGTGAGCGCGGTGAGCAGGGACAGGGCTGCTCTTGTTCGCTCTGTGCTGCTCCTGCGTTCATGGGGGATGAGGGAGGGGGATGAGGGCGGGCAGCCACCAGCCTCTGATGTGGGCCCGGCCGCCCTCAGCAGCCAGCGCCGTGCCCACCGGCCCTGCAGCAGCCTTCCCGCCGGAGGGTGCCCTCAGGGCCTCGGGGGCGGCGTTGCTGGTACAGGATCCTCCCACGCAGACCACTTCCTTGGGGAGGGTCCTCTCTGTCCGCCCTCAGCCGCCCTCGGAGGAAAAGGCCCTGGGCTCTGGGCGGAGGGAGGGCCCCTTTCCGACCCCGAGGTGGAACTTGACAGAACCTCAGCCCTGCGGCTCCCACGTCCTGAGACGGAAGGCAGCGGGGAGGTGGGGCCTCTGGCCATGACGACAGGTGGAGCAGTGGTCCTCCACCTTCCCATCGCCGCGGCCCTTTCACGCAGCTCCTCGTGTGGTGGTGACCCCCAGCCGTCACATCACTTTCGTTGCTGCTTCACAGCTGTAACGTTGCTCCTGCTATGAACCGTAATGTAAATACCTGTGTTTTCCCGTGGTCTTACGTGTACCCATCTTCTGATGGCCTCGGGCTCTGCAGCGGTGGTTCTCACCTGTGGGTCGCCTAAGACCATTACAGTTGTGAAGTAGCCACAGAAAGATTTCACGGCTGGGGGTCACCACAGCACGAGGAGCTGTGTGAACGGTCGCGGCATTAGGAAGGCGGAGAGCCACTGCGCTGGAGGGAAGAGGGACGGAAGGAGCCGAGGCTGCGAGCCAGCAGGTGGTCGCCACCGCAGCCTCAGCGGGCACAGTGCTCGCCGACGCTGAGCGGACACAGGACGTCCCTTCTCGGCTTCAGTGCTTCTCAGCCTCAGTGCTGGGCCTCCAGGGGCATGTGGCAGCGTCTGCAGACATGTTTATTGTCATAACTTGGGGGAGGGGGGGTTTCCTGGCATCTCATGGGCATCTCATGGGCTCAACGTCCTAAACACAGGCAGCATCTCCCCCCCACCCCCCCTCAAAGGAATGGGCTGGCCCAGCCCCAGCCGCCTGCAAGGCCAGATGTCTCCTCCGCACCGCGCCCTGGGCTGGCTGCTGGGCTGGGAGGATGGGTTCTGAGAAGCTCAGGGTCCAGCAGCAGGGGAGACGGTCCTGTGAGGTCAGGGCCCCGCCTCAGGGGGGAAGTGGGGGAGAGGGTGTGACTCCACTCCCTGTGCAGGAAGGAGAGTGTCGGTGAGGAGTATATTAAACAGCACTTCTACAGCACACCGTGATTTATCATACACACGGTGTCGCCCAGTGTCCTCATTGAACCTGGGAGATGGCCCTGTGACTGGGCCACACACCCCCGGGCATCGCTGACATCCCGATGCCCCCGCCATCCCCATGACATGGAATTCTTCTCATCCAAGCAGCGAGCTCCTGTTCGCGTGGAGGAAGCCTGAAGGGCCGTTTGCTTGGTCTAAACACGCTTCCAGAGAACCTGGCAGCCACGAGAGAGAAAAATAAAAGAATGAAAGGACAGTGGAGGTCCTGAGGAAGGAATCACTATGAAATGTTTTTTTAAAAAAATAATATGAAGTGATATGAAAACATAGCAATTAAAGTTTCAAAACATAATAGAGAACTGACACGCACACATATGTCACAGTGTGTATTTATACGCTGTATATGAGGCCCCTAGGACCATAAGCAATACAAAGGTTCACTGTTAATAACTCATTTTCCAATTGCCCCCCTGGGGACCACTGGACTAGACCCATTTCACAGATGGAGACCATCGAGTCTCCTGCCGTAGGCTGTGTGGCCACGGGCCTGTGCTCCTCCTCACGCCCTCCAGGCTCCTTCTGAAGTGGGCATCTCTCTCTCGCTGGGACCGCCGAGCGCTCTCCGCTGACGGGCAGGCACAGTGTTATCTCTCCTCTCTGCTGAGAGCACGGACCCACACTCTGCTGTGACGTCTTGCAGAGGCTGCCCGGGTGAGACACTGGCCCGGGCGGCCGTTCCCCTGCCCTCCCCTCCGCTGTCTGCCGGGGGCGTCTCCCCGCCAGCCCCCTCCTAGAGTCCCTGCCAGCCCCGGGCGGGAGCCGTCCTCAGCTCCTCAGATACTTGCAGGGCTGAAGTTAGAAACAAACCATGTCCGTTTCGGATGGAGGCTGCTCAGGGCGGCCGCCTGTGCCCCTGAGGGAAGGGGCAGTGCCCCGCCCCAGCTGCGGGATGGCGGCTCGGCTGGCGCTCTGGGCACGTCCGGCTCTCGCGCTTGGTGAGCAGCACTCAGTGTTTGCTCTTTGCAAGGGGTCCACTGGGACCCGCCCTCTGCAGGCCTTCCTCCTGATTCCTCCCGAGACTCACTGAGGTTTGACACCCCCCCCCCCCCGCCCCCCTCCTCTGAGCCTGGGCATCACTGCGGGGCAGTGAGAGAGTGGGAGTCACAGCAGGCCGCCTGTGCTCCTCTCCGCCCGGGTCCGAGGCGGATTGGCAGACCGTTTCCCACTCAGGCTCGGCACCTTCCCGGCTGTGCCTGGCCCTGTGCTGGGGAACCCCCAAACGGGTGGTTTTTATGAGGTCCAGGTGCAACATGTCCGGCTGGTGAGGGGCCTGGGACTCGGGATGTCAGCTCACCGGCTGCGGAGCTGAGGGCACGGAGGGACGGCGGGAGGAGAGCCGCACGAACGGGGAAACGCACGCGGGAAGGCGGGGCAGGGAGGCGGGCGCTCCGCCCCGGTCTTGGCCCTCCCTCGGGAGTCAGACGGGGTCCCCGTGGGCACGGGCAGCGGGCACTGGGCCACTGCTTGGGCCCTGTGTAGCCTCGAAAGGGAAATGGTTTGGGTTCACCAGAATTTCCATAGCCTGTGACGTGG